TATATATATATATATATTACCTATTCGTAAATGAATAAGTAAATTACCTATCTATCTATTTATCTATCTGTGTATCAATTTTAAATAATAATATATAAATATATAATATATAATTAAAACAATTTCAACCAGCAGCCACGGTAGCAAAATAGTGCAAAACATAACAAATTAAACATTATTTACCAAAATAAAGAATGTAGTAATAAAAGCTAAATATTTGCTTACTTACTCATTTGCTTATTTTACAGGCATTGTAGCAAAGTAGATTCAAATTGGAATGCAAAAAATGCAATGAGAGCATATACACAAATAATTATGTATATTTGTATGTATTTTTACCAACATAAAAATATAAAAGAATTTACAGATAATTTATTTATATTGATTGATTATTTTATTTATTTATTTGAAAAATCATTGTAAATGTTGTGGCATGTTTTGCTACAATATTGTAAACCGTTTTAAGTCAGAGACACTATTATTTAAAAGGCCAATTAAAAGTGCATTAAAATCACTGCAATAGTCACAACGTTTTATCAAAATCATGTAAAATTGGGCTTTAAAATTTTACATTTGAAAATTTTAATTTGAACGTCTTGTGGTTTCATGCTAACCAGGGCAGAAGTACTGTATGTAAGACACTGTGTTTCCAGTCCATCTTTTGAAAAGTTTCTAGTTTCAGGACAAAATGTTTTCTTCAGACAGTGACAGTATGTCATGCTGTGTGTCATTGAAGACAAAATCAGATTTTTATGCTGACAGAACAAAACACTTTTCTCCTCCTCTTTTTTGAGCAGGTCTTGATATCAGAAGGACTGGGTCGATATGCCAAGGATCCAAAGTTCGTGGCCGCCACGAAGCACGAGATCGCAGACGCATGCGAGATGACCATCGACGAAATGGAGAGCGCCGCCAGCCATCTCCTGAACGGCGGCATTACGCCGAGTGCCAACGGCGTCACTGTCTTTCCCATAATGGGCCACAGAGACTACGAGCTGCAAGATGTCTCAGCTAGCTACAGTGACGAGGAACCAGAACCCGAACCCAGACCGCAGTATGAGGAGGACCTGGCAGACGAAATGATATGCATTACCACTTTATAGCACCTGATAAGCGGCTACTGCTGTTCCTCAGAAAGTGATCAGCAAAACAAACAAATCGAATTATAGTATATTTACTGGCTTACTACCTAAAGAAGTGCCTTTACAGCAGAGCAGAAAGGCACCACAAGAACGGACGCATCGGTGACACTCGCTCACTTCCTGTTCACACAGGAATTTGGCAGTCGTGGCACCAGGGAGGAGCTAAGAATCTCTGGAGGTAAACTTTAATTGGCTGCTTGTACCGTCACTGCAGGAAATGGACCAATGAGCAGTGAGGGGAGGTACCCGGGGTTTAAGGGTTTTGCATATCAAGCACGTTGCAAGCTCAATGCAAGCTAAGTATGGCATATCCCTCAACAAAGGCTTTAGTTTCGATTCGCCCCGTATTTTAGTACCGTTTAAGGCAAAGTGCATATTTTAGAGAACAAACGCTAATTCTACAACACTGGTTTACAATAAGGATATCATGCAGGTTGGTGGATTTCGGGAGGATTTCAGCATTTGTGTTGAATGCACTAGCAGACAGGTTATTTTTGTAATTTAGGATAGCCTGTTTGATATTTCATAATATGCTGTAAATGACTTGTAATATATAAAGGAAAAAGAAAACTTTGTAAAGAGACATATATTTTGTAATTATGTACTGTACAAAAAAGAAAATCCGCAATATTAATCCTAATTGATGTTATTGCATTACAAAAAAAGACGAAATTTGGTGTTATTTTAATAGGTACTGTACTTTATTATTAAATTATTTGCCTTTATTCTTTTCTCATATGCATTCTTACTTGTTTGTGAAAAGTATAGAACAAAAAAAGCCAATTTTCTATGAGGTTGAGTCTGTGACACACCTGCACAAGATATGCAAGTTGTTTTCTCAATGTCCGTTTTCATAAGCGGAACCGATGTAGTGTTCCTTTAAAATTGACGGCATGCAGTATGGGTCACGAGCGTTGACCCCCCTTTAAGAGGATTTTAGTAGGGCTTACAGAATCTTGTCTTAATCGCACTCTTGTTTGTGTATATTGAACGAGTCTGTCGAATAGGACATCCCGTTTTAAGGGTTCGTGTTTCGCGCATATTTTGTGCTGGGGTGGTGCACAGGAAGGTGCAATGGTAAATGCTTTTTGCATTAACAATGCTGCTTAATTAGTCTGCAATTGAACTGTACGACCCTCACTAGGAACATGCTGCCACTTGGAAAAGCCTGCTGCCACTGGCTGATCTAGGAATAGCGCACTACTGCACGGGTTTCAGATTAGCGAATCATTTCCACTAATGTATTTAGGTGTTTTAAATACTGAAATCTTACTTAAGTTTTATAATGATGATGATTATGATGACAAAATGTGATGATGGGGGAGTTTCGGGTTGCTTGAAGTGCATGTTCACATCACGAATCCTTAAAGGAAACAGTTCAGGCAAAAATGAAAATTCTGTCTTTATTCACTCGCCTTCAAATTGTTTTATTCTCAGTGGAAAATGTCGGGTTCTGGAAGTATAAACTCAATTCATTTTCTCCATAGGGAAATAGATTTTTAATGATAACTTGTAAACCTTTAACGACAGACTTACTGTGAGCTACAAGTTTGTTAATCGATGGCATATGCTTTTGTTGAAGCTATCCGTTCACATTATTTCAGCTTATTTCATGTTTATCAGCTGAACTTGTGAAGAGAACTACACTACCCATGATGCTATACAGAAAATTTCAACCAATCAGAGAGTCGCCTCTCCTGTGAAAAACAGCAAATGGCGTAATCAATACACTATGCTGTCGAAATGCTTAAATATTTGTATGTATATATATATATATATATATATATATATATACATATTTTGCAATAAACTTAAAACATACAGTTTCTATAGATATAACAGACTACTTAATAGTTTTGTTTCTCCATTGTTTTTAATTCAGTTGTCATTTAAAAGTGCTTCATGGAATACTTTTTCTTTAAATAAAGGTTTGTAATGTGCAACCTCAGCTGGTTGAATTGATTCGTGACTTATAATGTTTTAATGAAGCTTTAAAGGAATCTTTATGGAAAAAAATTAATGAAAAAAATACTTCTAGAACCAACAGCACTAAAAAGTAGGCCACTAATTCACTCTATAGAAAGAGAATTTTTGAAGAATTGTCATGCTCAAAAGTTATATTGCATTCCTCTATTTAAAACAGTAGAGGGAATAAAATAAAAATTGTACATCTAAAAAACGCAATGCAAGTCGCTTTGGATAAAAGCATCTGCCAGATGCATTAATGTAATGTAAATGTAATCATTTGCTAACTTTACATTGCAAAGATGGCACAGAAGTGCTTTTGAAGTAGCATTTAAGTGTCTTTAAACACTGTTTAATGCAGCTTAGAGGTGGAATGAATGCATTTACACAGATACAAATACGACTGTATGCTTTAATACTTGGGGTTGAGGTGGGACAGAGCAGGCTTAATCCACTCTGGCTTTTATGTGGCATTACATCTTGACACAGAATTTTGAGCAGGCACAGAGCAGATGGCATAAAATGCCTAAAATAAAAGTCCTGTTCTGGGTGAAAATAAAAGAATTTGGAAAGTTCGTTAAGAAGTAGTAAGAATTCGAATTGGAAAGTTAAGGGTGAGCAAATAATGACACAATTTTCATTTTTGGGTGCACTATCCCTTTAAGCAGGACAAGAAACTAGTTAAGCAATACTTCCCCCCTCTTTTTTTTTCTTCTTTTTTTTATTTTACTCTTTCTTTCTTTCCACCTCTCACTTCATCTCTGGCTTCTGGAAATACCTCTTTTAGTGCAGGGGAAACATATCAACATTTGAAGCGTCCTTTTTGTTGTGTCCTTTTTTTTTTTTTTTTTGCCTATAAGGTGTTGAAAATCTATAGGCCTCAACTTGGGATACATCAATTCAATTGACCTTTTGTCATTTCTAACAGGCAAATTAATGCTGAGCATTATGGGCATAAAATGGGCAAAATAAAAAGTTTGACTGCAAAGGCCACTACCTTGAAGTGTAAAGCTTCAGTACAGCTTAAATAAAGGGAAATGTGGGGTTTGTTGGAGTTCTTGTTCTTGAGTGTTATTGATCTCTTGTGTTTTGGAAGAGTACTGTGCTTTTCAGTCAACCGAATACTGTCATGAAACACTGCGTGTGCACATCTGAAAGGGCTCTCTGAAATGATCTGTGCGAAAAAAGAAAAAAAAATTAAATGTTGTGTTCTGGTCTTCGTGTCAATTATACTGTATCTTGTAAACGGACCAATGCACATTCTTGGCACATTGTACTATTCGTAGCAATTACTGGTAAGGACAATAAAATATGCATTATTTTTAATAAACTAAGAAAAAACTTGTTAAACTAAAGATTAAACTTTTACCTCGTGTCAGGGACTCCTGAAAAGAAAGAAAAAAATGTGGTTTCTTAATATACCAATGGGATTTTATTATTAGCACATTGCTGTTCGTCTTTGCACAAATTACTGTAACGTGCAATTTGTTTTCCCTGTTTTCTGTTCATATTTTGTGTATCAAGGTGGGCGAATTTTGTACTTTTTTCTGTGACTGTGCGTACGGTTTAGTGAAATCTATATTTGTCATTTACATTTCACCTTTCAGTGCTGGGACAAACAGAAGGGAGGGAGGAAAGGTGCACTCCTCTGTATTGTTAATGTTGATTTATTGACAAAAAAAAAAGTATTATACAAGTTTTCAGAGCCACATCTGTTGATTATCACATTTTCATCTAGAGTTGTTGCTACTACTATTATACTTTTTATTATTAATGCTGTAAGGAAACATAAGATTATTGTGTAACATATGTACAGAAGTAATGGAACGATGCGTGATGTTCTCCATTTGAAAGTCTTTATCTTTGCTCTGTTATAGTTTTTATTCCATGAAGAAAAAGAAAAAAGGTTTTCTCTACGTAGCAGATGACTTATAATATCCCTCTAGGTTTTGTATTGATACATTTTTTGTAAATTTCCTATTTATTTTGGCCTGGACTTGATTTTAATCAATACTGAAATTTTATTTTCTAATGATTAATACAGAATAAACTTAATGAATAAACAAACAACTGTGTCACTTATTTGTACAAGAACATGGAACTGCAATTCAGAACATTATGATAACACTTCTGTAGCCACAGAAAGACTTTAATAATAGCTAATAAATGAGTTTCTCAGTAGATCTATGGGTCAAGGCATCTTTAATTGGAAGGAAATATGAAAAATGTAATCTGATTATATTGCAAGATTCATCTGGGGCTCTGGGATCAGATGATGTAGCATTTAAGAGTTTTAGAATAAAGATTTTTAAAAATGTTTTTTAAAAGTCTCCAATACTCACCAAAACTGCATTTATTTGACCAAAAATACAGTAAAAACTTCAATATTGTGAAATATTATTACAATTTAAAATAACTGCTTTCTGTTTGAATATATTGTGAAATGTAATTTATTCCTGTGATGCAAAGCTGAATTTTCAGCAGCCATTTCTCTAGTATGAGCCTTCAGAATTCATTCTACTATGCTGATTTGGTGCTCAAGAAACACCAAATTTGGTGTCTCTACTGTCACTTTTGATCAGTTTAATGCACTGTTGCTGAATAGAAGTATTAGCAAAGTTTTGTGGCTTTAAATGTATACGTATAGTACAGTATTAGTTGGTATACAACCTAAAAGTTGACCAAATTAAGAGCAAAAAAATGCAGTCTTATTCGTCTGGGAAAAAATGACACAAAAAAAAAAATACAGATGGCTCATCTTTCATTCAGGAAGGTACAGTATACACATTTTTCCCATCGAATGCTGTCTAGAATGAAAATGTTCCCAGCTGGTTCTGAATAGCTTTAGCAAGAAGTGAATCACAGATGTGATGTGAATGAAAGGCTATTGGCCTTAAAAAAGGACAAGCCACATAGCTTCCATCTCAACTTCAATAGGAAACATACAGGAAAGAAATGGCATTCATCAAACCATCTCACTTTTAGCAGAAGAGCACATTTATGATGCTCGAACATGACTGTAGTGAAACGTACACTAAGTCAGTCTGGGCTGATTTTGTTGTTCAATGGTAATACAACAGTCTGAACATCAGATACATCGTCCTCTGACGGCCAGGGGTCCCTTCCACACATCAGAAGTAGTATTGCAAACTTCTGGAACTAGAAACAAAGTTTATCATTTTCAAACAGCCCACCTTACTGCATAGTATTAATTTATTGTACATTAGTCCCCAAAGGGACATGGTGATGGTAAAAATTTGAGAATGGAGGAAAAATGTAAATGCTGTTCCGTTCAAATTTTGTGCTCCTCTAGAAACTTTGTGAACACAAGCACTGAAATATAATTTTTCCTCCCATCTCATATATATATATTTTTTTTTTTTGTGATGTAAATTCAGGCTTGGTGTTTGTGTTAAACTAGGCAAATCATACTGATCCACATGATTCATTGCTTGTTTCACTTACCTGTTTGTTCATGTATATGTAGATCAGGGGGTTGTAAACAGTGCTGCTCTTGGCCATGTATATGGGTACCACCTTCACCAGCACGGGTAACTGGACATCAGGGTTGAAGACGACCATCAGAGCCAGAGCAGCATACGGCAGCCAGCTCACGAGGAACGCCAACACCATCATCACCACCATCCACGCCACCTTAGACTCTGCCCTCGCAGCTGCACAGCCACCAACCTTAGCAACCTGTCAATGAAAATATTCTTTCAAACATGAAAAAATTTTGAACCATGTTTATTAATTATACCAGCAAGCACTAGTCAATAAGAAAGATTAGTGCAGACATTGTATATGTATTGATCTGCAAATAAGCAGACATTTAATTTTGTATTTCTTACCAAAACTTGTTATACACCAGGGGTGTCAAACTCAATTCCTGGAGGGCCGAAGCCCTACAGAGTTTTGTTCCAACCCTGCTCCAACACACATACCATGTAGTTTTCAAATAAGCCTGAAGGACTCGATTAGTTGGATCAGGTGTGTTTAATTAGGGTTGAATCTAAACTCTGCAGTGCTCCGGCCCCCCAGGAATTGAGTTTGACACCCGTTATACACTATCAATACAATACTATTCAATATACTAAAAAAAAATCTAATTACTGATAAATTAAGTGTGCAGACTATAACATTTAGTTTTTTAAAAAATGAAGAAAAACGAAATTAGTGTAAATATGTGGCAACAAACAGTATAAAAATACAATGCACAGACCTTACATAAGTTACAAAATGCCTTAAAGGAACAGTTCACCCAAAAGTGTTTTCGTTTCTTCATCAGAACAAATTTAGAGAAATTTAGCATTGCATCACTTTTTCACTAATGGATCCTCTGCAGTGAATGGGTGCCACAACAATGAGAGTCCAAACAGCTGATAAAAACCAATATGGATAGAACACTTGTATTTTAGCCAGAAGCAATGGTTTTCAAATTAAAATTGTCTTAATGTATTTGTTTCTTACAAACATTCAGCTTTCCACTTCACAAGACATTATCTGATGGACTGGAGTTGTGTGGATTACTTGTAGATTATTGTAATGTTTTTATCAGCCGTTTGGACTCTCATTCTGACGGCACCCATTCACTGCCGAGGATCCATTGCTGAGCAAGTGATGGAATGTTCAATTTCTCCAAATCTGTTCTGATGAAGAAACAAACTCATCTAGGCTACATCTTGCATGGCCTAATTAAAGGGGAGTAAATTTTCAGCAAATTTTAATTTTTGGATGAACTATTCCTTTAACTTTTTTAATTCAAATCGTGCTTCTCACGAGGGACGAACGATATGTTTTTATGAAATGTAACGGGATAAAAATTACAATATTATGATTAAGAATGTATTGAGGTAAAAGTAAACATTTGCCAAAATAAAAATAGGCAGGTTGCACTTTATTTTACAGTACGTGTACTTAATGTACTTACGGTGTACCTACAAGAAAGTACTGGTAATATAAGGTAACTACATGGGGTAGGGGTAGGTTCAGGGTTAGTACCTAGCTATTACCTAGTTATTGTAATTACTATAATAAGTACATAGTATGTACATGAGAAACAGGACTGTAAAATAAAGTGCTACCAATAGGCCTACTCTGATAAATTACAGGTAAGTAATGCTTCATTACTGCCCACCACTGCAACTACATTTCAACAGCTCAGAAACATAACATTAAAACAGGAAAGTAAACCAGGACAATGTCCTACTTGTCTTAGCGTGTAGAGCAGCCATGAATATGACACCACAATAATGACGAATGGCACAGCAAAACAGAGTGAGAAGTAACAGATGATGTAAGACACATTTTTGAGATCTCGACTCTGCCAGTCGGGTCCGCAGGATGTGCCGACTCCCTCCAGCTGGTAGCTCCCCCAGCCAAAGAGAGGCGGAGTATTCCAGATCAGAGACCAGAGCCAGGAGAACGCCAACCCTCCTGCGGCGTGCTTGGTCTGTAATGTGATGGTACCCAGAGGCTTGCACACTACGAACAGCCGTTCCACAGCAATCAGGGCCACTGTGCACAGCGCTGTTATACCTGCGCAGAGTTAAAAGGTTAGTTCACCCAAAAATGAAAATTCTGTCATTAATTACTCACCCTCGTGTTGTTCCAAACCCGTAAGACCTTCGTTCATCTTCGGAACACAATTTAAGATATTTTGATGAAATCTGAGGGCTCTCTGACCCTCCCATAGACAGCAAGGTAACTACCACGTTCAAGGTCCAGAAAAGTACCAAGATGATCGGCAAAGTAGTGAGCGTGTGGTGGCGCCGGCACTGACCCAGATCCGGCGTAATGACGTCACAACTTTACAGTTGAACCACTGATGTCACACGGACTACTTTCGTCTCTACTGCATCACTTTGGACGCGCGTTCACGACAGTACCATGCGTGTGGAGCGTGTGGCGGCGCCTGCGCTGTCCCAGATCCGGCGTGCTGACGTCATTACGCCAGATCTGGGTCAGCGCAGCCACATGCTTGCGTCATGGTACTGTGACTACTGTCGTGAACTCGCCTCCACAAGTGAAGCAGTAGAGATGAAAATGTGGAATAAAGTCGTTATTTTTGTTTTCTTTGCGCAAAAAAGTATTCTCGAAAGTTCACTCAACTCGTATGTTAAGGGTTAACAGAAAGATTCCCTTGGATAATATTAAAAATATATTTGCTTGAGAAACAACTATATTTTTTAAGGCTAAATTTTCTGGAAAACAAGAGACTGATAGATTCACGACTCTTTTGAGCCGGTTCTTTTTAGTGAATAAAAAATAATTAAAGTGCAGCTTGTCCGATTCACGAACAAATTACTCTTACGAGCCGGTTCTTTTTAGTGAATCAAAAATAAATAAGAGATAAAGAAATAAAATACAGTGTAATCAGTGCAGTCCGATTCACAATCAAATTAATTTTATGAATCGGATCTCTTAATGAATCGTTCAAGAAGATCACGAGGTAACGTTGCGGTTTGACTAAAGAGCGGTCAAGTCTGTATTTAACATATTTTAAAGGTAGGCTCATTATTTTCAGTGAAGGTTTTGTGTATAGGAAACTTTCGCCTCTAAAAATGACAGTGAGCAGAACTGAACACAATCTCCTTGTTGTAGAAAATGAACACTAGGCCTAATGTATGTTACAAATTCAGTATGTTAAAGCGCTACCAGTCAAAACAAGAACCATAACGATTCGCGAATGAATTTTTGAATCGGTTCCTTTTGTGTCAGTAGGTCAAGCTGGTTTGCAAAAACGTTGAATCGGTTCGCGATTCAGTCTGAATCTGTTCCTACACGCATTGATTTGTTTGGAGCGGTTTATGTAGTAAAAGACTGTTTTAGAACACAGAAAACAAACAGAACGCTGAATGAAGTGAATATTTGCTAAAAATACATTGAAACAAAACCCTGTGAATGTCTCCTATCATGTCAGCAACGAAGAAACTATTAAAATCGACACCTGCAGCTTGAGAAGGAGCAGGTTTGCTGTACAACAAACAACAATAGCGTGAAGGTACACGCCAATACACAGTAGGCTACATAGGCCTACAGTATAAAAGTATTTCCATGTTTTTGTTTTTGTTTTTTTGAACATATGCCCTGTGAATATTATGCGGCAATCATCCTATTACAGTGTGTGGTGGTACTGCCACAGCTACTGTATTTTTTTAAATGTATTTTTCCAAAAGAAAAAGTATAAACCACCTGTAAGTACAACAGAGGTTATCCTTGCCTTAGCAAGCACTAATGATCTGACTAAATCAGGAAAATTAATTTGAATATTTGAATATGAATATAGGCTAATCATATATGTTTTAAAACGTTTTTTCAGTGTCTGGAAGCCCAGAAGGGGTGCAGTTTACATACAGTCTAAAATCATTATTTTGTGTTGGAATGAACCCAGAACAGACTTACCAAATAATGCAACACAAAATCCCTCCAGTACACATCCGACCCGTCCCGTAATGTAGTAGCCCACTGCATTGGTCACCACAGATGGCACACTTCCTGTTAACGTGATGCCCAGGTCGGCCACGGCGAGGTTGACCAGGGCAAAATTCAGCGGCTGCCGCAGCTGTTTGTGCCGGAGGGTTGAATTTTAGATTTTTAGAACAGCAAAGTCTAAGCTTTGAAATGAATGGCAAAAGTGATATAATTTACTTAATTTCACCCTGTGTCAATGCATTAAGTTTTTATAGTTTTATATTATTGTTTTAAAGATGCTTCCAGGTATCTGTATCCGTTCATAAAGGTGTGTGAGTGCCTGTGTTTATTATAAGAGATTTTGTAAGAGGTTCTGTGATTAGCTGTGCAGTGTGACTCTCAGCACCTTCAGTGCCAGATGTCACATTTGCCCAGTACTATATTTGACCCTGCTAAGAGTTTTAACTTCCATTAAGACGAGACAGAGATTATGTGTATTTGGTGCCCTGCATTAAAATAGACAAGAGTGAACTCCAGCACAGACTAACCAGATTTGCTTCAAGAGTTGTTAAAACTATTGCTTCTGTCCCCCGAAAGACCTATAATTTCTTCATCTTATTGTTGTCTTTGTCATTCTGATTAAAGAAGGACCCTATAAGCACAGGTCACCAGTGAACAAAGACTTCTATTTCTGGATGTGCATCTATAGCTCCAGTGGACATACTGTAAGGTATTATTACAATTTAGAATTGATTTCTATTTAAATATATTTTAAAATGTAATTTATTCCTGTGATGCAAAGCTGAATTTTCAGCATCATTACTCCAGTCTTCAGTGTCACATGATCCTTCAGAAATTATTCTTACATGCTGCATTTGATTCTCAGGAAATGTTTTATTATCAATATTGAAAACAATTGTGCTGTTTAACGGTTTTGTGGAAGCTATGCTGTAAATGTCATTGTAGTGTAGTAGCAGCATTGCAGTAGTACAGTATGGCAAGTGTTCTTCAACTTCAGTCACTGCTGTTTCAGCTGAGTCTGTAATGTATGATGCATTTCCCAGCTAATCATGACTGCACAGAGACTCAGGCCATGTTCAGACAGATCCATCAGAGCCCGTACCACACACACACACACACACACACACACAATCACGCAGATGCACCTCATCATTTATGTGCTCGTGGTAATTAGAGGAACAAAAAAAAAGAGAGAGAGAGAAAATGAGAGAATAGCAATTAACTCCTAGATGCCATTGTTAAGCATCAGGCTCAAGAGGTCAGTGCTGTAGAAATGGTTGGTCATAAATCTTATTCACTTACTATCTTTGAGTACTATCTACTCTTTTATGGCATCTATTGATGAGGAGCAATACTGCATCTGGCTGACTTATTCTATATATCAGTGTATTTTGCTGTATTTATTCATTAAATGAATAGTTCACACAAAAATGAAAATATGCTGATAATTTACTCACCCTCAGGCCATCCGAGATGTAGATGAGTTTGTTTCTTCATCAGAACAGATTTGCAGAAATTTAGCATTTCATCACTTGCTCACCAATGGATCCTCTGCAGTGAATGGGTGCCGTCAGAATGAGAGTCCAAACAGCTGATAAAAACATTGTGATAATCCACAAGTAAAAGACTTGACTACAGAACTTCAGTTAATGTCTTGTGAAGTGAAAAGCTGCATGTTTGTAAGAAACAAATCTGTCAAACTGTTGTTAAAATCCAGAGTCCTTTGTCCATAATATCGCTTTCTCCAGTGAAAGTCATCTGGTCTGAATCAGGAGAGAAATATGCACAGATCAAGCACCATATACAGTACAAGTAAAAACAGTTCTAAACAAATATGTGGGTGGATTTTGATGTGAGAGGACAACAGCCATGAACTTTTTCACTAAAGGAATCATTATTATGAAGTCATTGTTTAAAGTTAAAAGTAAAACAAACTCGCAGCTTTTTGCTTCACAAGATGTTAATTGATAGACTGGAGTGGTGTGGATTACTTGTGGATTATTGTGCTGTTTTTATCAGCTGTATGGACTCTCATTCTGACGGCACCCATTCACTGCAGAGGATCCATTGGTGAGCAAGTGATGGAATGCTACATTTCTCCAAATCTGTTCTCATCTAAACTCATCTACATCTTGGGTGACCTCATGGTGTGTAAATTTTCATTTTTGGGTGCATAGCAATGAATAATCTGATGTATCCAGAAACATATTTTCATATGACAACTCAGATAAAACCATTTGGGGGACAGAAATCATGAATATTATTCTAATTTTGGCCGTTTTTAACTACCTGTTCGAAACCATTATACAAACACTCTGATTTTTGAAACGCAATTGGACTTTTGACTCAGTCTTACCGTTATTGAGATATAGCCGTTTGAGACAACTAGCCCCGGTTAAATAAACTGCAAAGTGTGATCAAAACAGTTGTAACTCCAATATGTAGAATCATGCACTGCTGTTAGATAGGCTATGAAAATTAGTCTTATATCAAGATGAATAATAATGTTTATATAAGAAACTGTAATATTATTTTTTTTAATTCTTAATAAATAAATGATTCATATTAAAGTAAAATACATAATTTCGAACCATATGCTCCATCACTGCTTGATACCAGAGCAAAATTATCCCCAAACGGAGGAATGCGCGTGGCCGAGGGAAAGTTTCGCATCAGCTTCTCTCGTGTGCGCGCTCGCGTGAGGAAACAGCACTAGATCTCCCTCCCTAAATTTCGAGCCTCACTGTCTCGATGACTTTCTAATCGCTTTTCCTCTCCCTAAACTTCTGCCTTCAGTATATGCACTGACCCGATAGTGTCGTTCATCATAATATCAGCAGCGCCAGTAGTGAGAGCGCGCGAGTTAATTTGGTTATAATCAGCTCTGAGAGAAAGGCTGTGAGCACAAAATAAGCATTTAAAACCGGGTTTGTTCTCTATACCCCTAATGCAGCGATAAAAAGCAAAGATCGATGTCAAAGAGCACGAGCAGGAGGTCGTGGGGTGTGTGACAGCTGGGCGGAGAGACTGAAACTCCGGAGGCAGCACGCGCGCTGGGGCGGGCAGATGTGAAGCTGAATCGGCGCTCGGTGCTGTTTTTGTAACCGAGGGGAGAGAGACCGAGAGGAGGGGGGAATTCTAAAGGGAGCCCGAGCCGCCGGTTCCGTTGCAGCGCGAGAAATTTTGGGTGAAGGATGCAGCGGAACCGGAGAATTCCTCTGATGCACGCGCGCTGCCTCCTCTTGTGTGTGATGAGCGCGTGCTGGACGGCGCTGGAGGTAAGGGGGTCCCAACCGGAGATCCCCTTATCAGTGTGAGTAGAAGAGCATGCATGCACAAAATAGAGAAGAAGCCATGATAAGAGAGGTTAAAAACTATACTGTCGTTTTATTTTAAAAAGTCTAGAAATTTCTAGTACAAATTATAGATGCATTTTTAATTTATGCACATTGCATTAAATATAAATGCATGCAAAATATAGAGAAGCCTTAATAGTTGTATTTCATCTATGTACATTTGGAGAGAGAGAGGTTAAAACTATCATTTATAATGGCTTTGTTTGTATTTTAATGGTCAATTTATAGCTAAAAATCAAACATGAAAGGCTTTTAAAAAAATAAATGTATTATATTTAAAGGTGTGCAAAACAGAAAATTAACTACATTTAATCTATAATCATAAGTGCACTTAGAGGTTACAACTACTTTGTGATGGTTATTGCACTATTGTAATATTCTGGTTATCTGTGCAAATATGAGAGGCTTTTATTATATATGCACATTTTATAATATTTAAATGTAAAAAAAAAATATATATAGAAAAGAAGCCCTGATAATTGCTGTTGTGTGTGTACAAGTATACAGTAAAAAAAATTTGAAGTGTGCAAAAACATGCTTCATGTGATAACAGCTAAATCCACTGATTTTATTTAAACCCCAAATATAATTTGCAGTAATATGATATAATCAGCCTCACTACATTACATTACACCAATGAAAGTCATTATTAAGAGGCATGATTAAAGAAAGTCACGATTAAGATCAGGTATAAATAGTTCCTTACGATTATTTGGAATGCACGTTTTCACTTTTTATAGTGTAGAAGGAAAATACAATATAAGCTTTTATGGCTTAAGAACTTTTTTGTTGTTGTTGTTGTTGTTGTTTGAAATACAGTAAATGAGAATCATAAGGGATGAAAATGTGGATTAACCTACAAACCCCCATGCTCCTATATGCTCATATAGAATGCAATGATTATAAACAGTTATTGCTTTAACTTATGTTAACTGTTTTACTCCTGAACTATCATTATATTATTGCTAATACTTGTAATGGTGGCATAATGTGTTTTAATTTGAGTGATTAAATAGGTTCTTCTACCAACAGGGTGAAACTCTGGGCTTCAGCATTTGGTGGTGAAATAAAATCAATAGCTTCAAAATACTCAGGATCTCAGCTCTTACAGAAGGTATTTCCTCTCTCTCTTTCTCTCTCTCTCTCTCTCTCTCTCTGTCTCTCTCACACACACACATACACACACTTGCATTGGCACACACACCTCTTCTTGGCTCATAAGAATACAGATGGCTTTGGTTTACAACATCCAGGTGTATAATCTGAGATGTGTGTGTCAGAGAGCAGGAGAGGGAGTTTTTGGATAAGGCCCATTACACTCGGTTTCTTTCCCCCCGATCTGTCTTTTGCATCTAAACACCTGTGTAGGACTAGCTGGAATAGACAAATAGAATAATTGAACGAATGTGTGTCTCTTTATAAATGACAAAGGAGCGTCTGATGATGCACTACGCACTTTAGCCACACGGTGGCAGCTGATATTATGAACTGAGTGCTTCAAATCTTTTTCTGGCCATCGGGTTCACATTTTTGAGATTTAAGGCATTTGGAGATAAATGTTGTTCGTTTTGAAATGATTAAATAAATCGTGATGTTCTTTTGAAAATTAAAAGAAGTAAAAACAGGGAAATTAGACACAGGCACATAAAGCAGACGCCATTTGATGCCATAATATCCCCCTTGTGTTATTTTTTAAATGTATTATTTATTCATTCATATCCATTCATATTATGAAGTCTTATTGGTGTGAGGTGTTGTAGATGGTTTATATTTATGCATTAATTCA